ATGGAAATACCATAAACACCCTGCAAACATTCTCACACCAACGCTGACACTTACTGTTTTGATGAAATCTATTTTTAGAATTCCATTCCGATGCACCCGAAACTGTGGGTAGATCAATTCAATAAACTATCTACAATATCGTGATTCATCGGAAAATCAATTCCCGCGTTTTTGCTTTTTCCTCGGCTTTTTTCTTGTTTTCATGAAATCTTGTCAAGCGCTTCATCCCATGCGAGTGGGAGGGAATCTATTAAAAGAGGAGAGTGAATAATTGTGATGTGTCACTCTGTTCGAGATGAAACAAACGTTATTCCTGATGCGCAAGGTCTCCCTAATGAACTGATGATTCACTTAGCAAAACTATACGAAAATTGCAGCAAAATTAGAGCAGATCAAAATGGAGCGTAATATTTATAAATGAAATGCATAAAATTGAATCACTAGCGTGCTCGTTAGCGTGCCTTTAGATCAAACGATATTATTTTATCACTCACAAAGTTGATTTCACTATACAGTGTGTCTCCGCTAAAACTTATCACCCATCTTATCTCCGAAGTCGTGGAAAATCGCTCGAACAGATCGATTTCAATTTAGCGGGGCACATAAAAGTTGAATACTTGAAGCATCGGGCATCAATAACGTTCGATTTTCAAATGGAACACCCTGTATTTCATTGCATCTTTAGATTATTCCTAAAGAGCACTTGGGGTCTAGCGGGAATGATGACAGAGATATAGGATCTAGACTTTTTAATTGTAGGATTTTTTGTGTCAAAACTATTCATTATCAGTCAAAACGGCTTTCATGTTTTTTGATTTACTATCTACTGACATTTAATTGGAACAAATACACGGTGATCAGAGTTCTGAATCTTGAACCACCCTGTATTTGTTCCAATTAAATGTCAGAAGATAGTATAAATCAATAGTCAAGATGGGAACATGAAAGCTGTTTTGACCGATGATGTACAGGGTGTGTCATAATTGAATGCTGATCCTTGAGGGCGATAATCCTTGGATGATTTCAAAGAGAAAAGTTCATATCAACATATGTCCTAAACCTCTTAGCTATTGAGCTACAGGGTGATGAAATTTCAAGAAAAAAATGAGTTTTTCTTCATAATTTTTTATCACTCTTAGATATTGTTATGATATTTTGTATACACCTTTTCATAATTAAGGAGCATTTTCTTACGTGAGAGATATTTGAAAATTCTCACTAGTGGCGTCCATACGGGGTTTGAACTGACAATTTTTGATGAAAAAAATAGCACGCCACTGATTTTTTGAGAACCAGATTTTTTTTTCAATTCTTGTTCATTTTGGAGCAAATTCGGTTCCTAGACTTACTTTCATACAACGTACCGTTTTCGCGTAAAAAAATAAAAACTAAAGAATAAAGAATTTTGATCCTTCAGTTCTTGGATATTGTTTTTGGTAATTCAGTAGACACCCACTATAAGTGGAAATACATTTTGTTTGGGGACAAAAATCAAACTTTCACTTTTACCAGTGTCCTCAAACTTTCACTTTTACCAGTGTCCTCGTAGACCTGATATTGAATGTTTTGTTTAAAAAAACGCTGTACGCTTCTGATTTCAACACCCTGTAGCTCAAAAACTAAGAGGTTCAGGACATATGTTGATATGAACTTTTCTCTTCAAAATCATCCAAGGATCATCGCACTTTAGGATCAGCATTCAGTTATGAAACACCCTGTATAGTATCGATACACATAAAAATCATAAAGTTGAAAAATCTCTACTTTGAACACACCATATCTCTGTAATCATTTTTGCTGGACCCCGATTGTTATACATTGATGAAATCAGCTCTTAAGGAAAAATCTAAAGATGCAATGAAATACAGGGTGTACCATTTGAAAATCGAGAAAATCGAGAAAGTTGATGTCGGTTACGCTTATAGCATTCAACTTTGAGATATGATAATTATAGAAAAACATTCCCTCGCCAAATTGAAATCGACCTGTCCTATAGCGATTTTCAGTATTTTCAACGACATCAGAGATCAGAGGGGTGACATGTTTCAGCTGGGACACACTGTATAATAAATAATAAACAACATCGAATGTCATGAAAATATACAAGGGCTCTAATTTGAAATAAGGAAAATATATAGTGCTTTGAAATTTGAAAAGTTTGCCACTAAATTTTGCACACCCTGTGTTGATTCGTGTCAATCAAACTCGGTTAGGGATCGTCTTATGCCTTATTTGATATGTTTCTCTTATGATTCTATTGAGCAGGCACTCTCTGTTTTTGTTATCAATGTTTTTGACCAGTGGTGCAAAATTTAATTTTTTGTTATATTTTTTTTACGTGAATATCACTGAACCGATTTCAATTAAAATCGAGGAGTATGTAGGTAACCACTAGAAGCACTCAAATGTGCAACAAAATATATGGCATGCCATTGAAAAAAATATATCAGTATGACGTCACACTTTTTTTGAGACACCCTGTATAATCGAAATTATTTTTTTGGTATGCGTCCTATGATACAATTGAAGTCTGCAAAATATCAAAATCCTGACTCAACTGATAACTGAGCTTTAGATGACGGGAGGTGAGATTCAGGACCCTGTATATCTCCAAAGATAACAGAGATATCGCTCAAATGATGGCAAATGCATCGAAAACTGGACACACTGTACCTACTAAACAAATAATCATCAAATATCTGGGACGCCTATGTTACAAATTTGTTCAAAATCACACGTACAGGGTGGGCAAAATTGGGCGTTTTCACCGTCTATCTCGATAACTAGAGGAGTTATCGAAAAACCCGAGGAAAAACCCTTCGATATTTGATTCACTATAAGACCTGGTACACAGTGTTTATAATCATTGAAAATGGAAAAATACATGTTCCGGGTTCGATTTTGGAGAAACCTCGAATGGCACAATCAAAATTTCGATATCCTCATTCGTTTTAGAGATACAGGGGGAAATTGAAAATTTGCCGATTTCGATTTTATTTTCTGACTACTTTACGGTGAGAGGTATCAAAAAATTTCGAACAAATATTCATACAGTATGGTGCGTGGAATCCATTGGCATCATCAGAAATTTTATACAGGGTGACGTTGAAAAGATACGGCAGCCAATTATGTTTTTTCTAATGAAACACCCCGCATATTTTGGCACAGTCGAATAGTCCCAGGCGTTCTCATTACAAATATATTATATATAACCCTACCTCTTCCTTCCACAATTTCAGATATATTCGCAAAAATATATTCAGTGTGTCACATTTCTTATGGTTACACCACCGTATCTTCTGTAAAAATAATTGAGGTAGGATTCAGAAATTCGCAACTGTCAGAAAGATACGAATGATACACTCATGGAGTCATGGACCAAGTGGGATCATCTCAAATGATGCTCGCCGGCAGCTATAGAATCATCGATATTTCTGGATAATGCAATCAACAGGCAGAATCGAGGTTGAAAATGACACTCTGTATATATTCACCAAATATGGAATATAAATATCATAGGGAATGTAATTTCCAGATAAATGGATATTTGGTGAGAAATAAAATGGGAAATTATTCGATTTGATATCATTGTTATCAAGACATTTGAGATACAGAAATAAGACCAATAATTTACTCAATTAGGAAATCAGTAGGTTGCGTTGAAAAATATAGCCTTATAGAAGATGTCCAAATTCCAGATACAGAACAATTTTTTTTATGGAACACCCCGTATATTTTGGCAGAGCTGGAAAGTTCCCGTTTCAATTTCAAATATATATCTTATTTATTATCTCTTTGAACGCAAAAATATTAAGGCATACTAGAAATAATGGGTAAAGTATCATATTCAGGCATTCTGCCACAAAATATTATGATTGTTAAGGTTTCCATCAATTATTCTTACAGAAGATACGGGGCTGTAACCATAAGAAATGTGACACACTGAATATATTTTTGCGAATATATCTGAAATTGTGAAGGAAAGGGTAGGGTTATATATATATTTGTAATGAGAACGCCTGGGACTATTCAACTGTGCCAAAATATACGGGGTGTTCCATTAGAAAAAACATAATTGGCTGTCGTATTTTCTCAACGTCACCCTGTATAAAATTTCTGATGATGCCAATGGATTCCACGCATCATACTCTATAAATATACGTTTGAAATTTTTTGATACCTCTCACCGTAAAGTAGTCAGAAAATAAAATCGAAATCGGCAAATTTTCAATTTCCCCCTGTATCTCTAAAACGAATGAAGATATCGAAATTTTGATTGTACCATTCGAAAAAACCTCCAAAATCGAACCCGGCACATGTATATCGGTTTTTCGATAACTCCTCTAGTTATTGAGATAGACGGTGAAAACGCCCAATTTTGCCCACCCTGTACACATGCATCTGATGATCTGATCCTATGCTAACAAATTTATCTCGTATAAATCATGTTTCCCGTCCGATGCAAAAATAGAAACATTGTATTACTAGAAAAATTAATCCAAATTATTTTTGTACATCTCTCTCCCATCGACATAACATCAGCAAATAATTTTTCCAAAAATAAATCGGTTCCAAATAAATGCTCCTAAATATAATTTGATTATTTTTAGATTATGTTGATGTGTATATTAGACTATTTCTGTAACGGCGGAGTTTTTATTTTTATCGAAAGAAAAAAATGTCTGCACACGTACATTTTGGTATTGCATCATGCCCACTTGTCTACATTTTTTCCCTATGGAAATGTTTCAATTTTTCATCTGGCAGAGGTTTGGTGCCTTCGAGAATTCGGAATTCTGTTACTAGAATATAAAATATGGCAGGTGCCATTTTTGAGTCTGAAAATTATGAGTTATAGGTATAGGTAACTTTTGGTGGTAGATTCTCGAATCCCGCATTCAAAATTCGAAGTTTCATATGATGAAAAAGTAGCACATCAATTATTATTCTCAATTTCCCTTCGAGTTTGATTTTCAGGAATTTCTGTTTTATTTTTTCAGGTCTGAGGGTATGGATACTGGATCAGAATCATCAGCGACCAACAACGACTTTCCATTAAGAAAAACAGGTATGTCTGACGAAATTCTGCTAATTTTGAATCATTTTTTATCATTATTTCGTACAATAACTCGTTGCTAGTTTGTCTCAAATCGTTGCTAGTTTGTATCGGTTTGATTTCCGATATACAGTGTGTGCGACATCAACCCGCAACACCCTCCTAATTTGCATTTGCAATTTTTGCAATTTTTGAAATTTTTCCGATTTTCAGGAATTTTTGCAATTTCTGCAACTTCAGGAAATTTTGCAATATATTCAGGAATTTTTATAATTTTTGCAATTTTTAGGAATTTTTGCAATTTTCACAATTTTCAGGAATTTTTGCGATTTTTGCAATTTTCAGGAGTTTTTGCAATTTTTCAGGCATTTTTGCGATTTTTGCAAATTCCAGGAATTTTTGCAAATTTTTGCAATTTTTGCAAATTTTTGCAATTTTTTCTAATTTTCCGGAATTTTTGCAATTTTTGCATTTTTCAGGAATTTGTGCCATTTTCAGGAATTTATGAAATTTCTGCAATTTTTTGCAATTTTCAGGATTTTTTGCAATTTTCAGGAATTTTTGCTATTTTTGCAATTTTCAGGCATTTTTGCGATTTTTGCAATTTTCAGGAATTTTGGCGATTTTTGCAATTTTCACATTTTTCAGGAATATTTGCGATTTTTGCAATTTTCAGGAATTTTTGCAATTTTTGCTATTTCTGCAATTTCTGCAATTCTCATGAGTTTTTACAATTTTTGCATTTTTCAGGAATTTTTCCAATTTTCAGGAATTTTTGAAATTTTTACAATTTTCAGGAATTTTTGCAATTTCTGCAATTTTTGCAATTTTCAGGAATTTTTGCAATTTTCAGGAATTTTTGCAATTTTTGCTATTTCTGCAATTTCTGCAATTCTCATGAGTTTTTACAATTTTTGCATTTTTCAGGAATTTTTCCAATTTTCAGGAATTTTTGAAATTTTTACAATTTTCAGGAATTTTTGCAATTTCTGCAATTTTTGCAATTTTCAGGAATTTTTGCAATTTTCAGGAATTTTTGCAATTTTCAGGAAATTTTGCATTCTAATTTTAAGGAATTTTTGCAATTTTTGTTATTTCTTCAATTTCTGCAATTTTCAGGAATTTTTACAATTTTCAGGAATTTTTGCATGTTTCAGTCATTTTTGCGATTTTCGCAATTTCTGCAATTTTCAGGAATTTTTGCAATTTTCAGGGATTCTTGCAATTTCCAGAAATTTTTGCAATTTTTGCAATTTTTCGATTTTCAGGAATTTTTGCAATCTTCAGGAATTTTTATAATTTTTGCAATTTTCACAATTTTCAGGAATTTTTGCGATTTTTGCATTTTTCAGGAGTTTTTGCAATTTTTCAGGCATTTTTGCGATTTTTACAAATTCCAGGAATTTTTGCAATTTTTGCAAATTCCAGGAATTTTTGCAATCTTTGCATTTTTTTCTAATTTTCAGTAATTTTTGCAATTTTCAGGAATTTTTGAAATTATGCAATTTTCAGGCTTTCTTGCGATTTTTGCAATTTTCAGGCATTTTTGCGATTTTTGCAGTTTTCAGGAATTTAGGAATTTTTACAATTTTCTGGAATTTTTGCAATTTTTGCATTTTTCAGGAATTTTTGCCATTTTCAGGAATTTATGAAATTTCTGCAATTTTTTGCAAATTTTAGTAATTTTTGCAATTTTTGCAATTTTCAGGAATTTTTGCAATTTTTGCTATTTTTGCAATTCAGGCATTTTTGCGGTTTTTGCAATTTTCAGGAATTTTGGCGATTTTTGCGATTTTCACAAGTTTCAGGAATATTTGCGATTTTTGCAATTTTCAGGAATTTTTGCAATTTTCAGAAATTTTTCTAATTTTCAGAAATTTTTCTAATTTTCAGAAATTTTTCTAATTTCCAGGAATTTTTGCAATGTTTGTTATTTCTGCAATTTCTGCAATTTTCATGAGTTTTTGCAATTTTTGCAATTTTCAGGAATTTTTGCAATTTCTGCAATTTTCGGGAATTTTCGCAATTCTCAGGAATTTTTGAAAGTTTTACAATTTTCAGGAATTTTTGCAATTTCTGCAATTTTTGCAATTTTCAGGAATTTTTGCAATTCTTAGGAATTTTTGCAATTTCTGACTATGGTTAATAGGAATTTTATTCAGTGCTCTTTCCGTTGCAGCCTCGGAACCCAACCTGCTCAAAGTCCGCCTGAAGCAGCGCGTGATGGAGCGCCGCTGCAGCCCGATGACCAAGCGTCTGCCGCCCTCGCTCAAGAAGAAGCTGCTGTCGTCCTGCCTGCCCGCCGCCCAACCCAGCGACTCGCCGCCCGCGCCAGAGCCGCCCAAGGAGCTCAGCCCGCCCTGCGCCTCGGAGGACGAGTACGGGCGGGGCGCCCATGCGTTGTTCAGCAGCCCGTCGATGCCGAACATTTCGCTGGGCGCGCATCCTCATCATCACGTGGGTGAGGTGTCGGAGGCGGCCGTGAGGGCGGCTTGTACGGCCCGGTTGGGTGAGTAGGACGGATGGGCATAATTTATTTTTTTATTTTTATTTATTGATCTTATTACAAACACCAATAGGTAATAACAGGTAATGGTAGTATACAGAAGACATTTACAATATTACAACTACACAACTAAACTTATAACTAAATAAGGCACAAGCAATCACAGAAATGAAGTGTGTGATAGTTATATTTTTTCGTACTTCCGGGCCTAAAGTGACAACTTCACTCCCTTGTGACAGGTACTAAAGTGTCACATTTAATCCCTCCGGGATTAAATATTGACGAAACTCCCGGAACGATTAAATCACAAACAAACGAATTTAAGGGATATTTTATTGAAAAATATAATTAATTAGAATGGTAATTAACGTTAATATTCAAATTAATATTGTGACAGTTCGTCATATTGACCAGTCTTTCCTGGGTTAATGCAGCAGGTAACTGACGAGTAACAGATAGGTCCTTTTCATATTGAACTGGTGTTTGTTTCGAAGATCCTGCGGAAACAGGAAGCGAGAATGAGGACTGTGGCATAACTATAGTGGACGAATCGGCGACTTGACCAAATATTTTATCTGAAATTTTTTGTTTATTTTTAATAGACGATTCAATATATCCCTCGGCCACGTTGGAGGATTTTCATCCTCCATGTCTCTTCAGCACGTCTATTGTTGCTCCCGAATCAGCTAACAAAGACGCAGATGTGCGTCTAAAACAATGTCCCGTATAAGACGTCGCATTTTCTAATTTCAAGAAAGCTGCTATTTGCCGTGGAAATGTACCAAACATGTTTTTTCCTACTACTCGCGTAGTACATTCTTTGTTGATGTATTGAACAAAAAATTTTGAATGAGTTGTCCCTGTCTTTCGCAATGCCACATATTTCCGAAATATCGCCACAAAACTGATGGCACTGTTTTCTGAATTTTTGATCACAAAATTTCGGTCAATTTTATTTTTGGTGTTTCTAATCGCAATTAGGAAGGAATCGCCCAAATCGCTCACATCGTCGATTTCTAAATCAACCAACTCTTTTCCACGACAAGCTCCCGCAACGCCCAAAATAAGTGCAACCTACAAAAAAATTGATTTCTTAAAATTTCTGAATATAAACAAATTTCCAAATTTACCTTAAGCATTAAATATTTATCATCCGGAGCCTCCCGTAAGAACTGATCTACCTGCTCAGACGTGAGAATTCTTGACTTCTTTGGCTTAAATCCCTCATTTCTTCTCTTCAAAAAAGCTAATAATTTTGGAAATTTACTTATATCAATATCTTCTCTAATGTTAATAACCGATTTCAGCATTGAGTAATGTGCCCAGAGAGTTGAGGCACAAACCGCTTTTGATTTATCATCGAAGTAGACTAACAGCGCATTTTCAGTAGGTTGTCTCACATTTTTTAAGCGGCACCACTTTTTAAAAGCATCGTACTGCTGCTCGTATAGTTTTCTAGATTTCGGTGGTAACAATTCTTCACCTACTTCGGCTGCTCTTTTATCAATATCAGATACACCTTCTTCACTCATGATACCAATAATTATCAATAACAATGTTTCTTTACAATGACACTAGTAATGACAATGTTTCTAAATTATAACTGTCACAACGCAATGTTACTATTGTAACGAGTATGGGTTTGCACAATGAAGTTCAGTACAGAGAACACTACCAATGAGTATATATCTATATTCTTCCTAAATTTGACAATCTAAAATAGAGATAATCTTAACATGATGCTGACTACAATAACGTAGAATGAGTAACTTACCTAACACCAGGTCCAATTGCGTTACGCAGATAGTATCGTACGAATCTGTATATCAATCACACCACTAGGCTGTTAAATATATCTTATGAAAGAGAATATGATTTTTGAAAACAATTTCATGTAGCCGTAAATAACGTCTACTATGACAACAATCTGGAAATCTGGACAGGATGTTCATTTATTCTATTGATAGACCGTATGTTATTCTAGTATTCTGCTACAATATGGTAACTTATTTTAAAGACAGTTTATTAAATGAGTTGAAGAGAGAAAAAACTGATTGAAATTATTGAAATAATTAATAAAATCATACCGGAAGTACGAAAAGTATCGTATATACCTTGCGACTGAAGTACATTTAATCCTTCAGGTAAATTATGGCCCTCCCTGCGGTCGGGCCATAAACTTTACCTTCAGGATTAAATGTACTACTTCAGTCCCGCGGTATATAATGTACTATTTTAGCACTTTCACGTTTGTGTTAAATCCAATAGTTAGTATTCAAGTGATTCCTATAATAGGAATATAATAATAATAATTAATTGCGTTTATTTAGCCTGGCGGAGTTTAGCAATACTCTTCCACTCGACCGGGTTAGATATGTGAAATACATTATTGCTCCTAACCTATTACAAATCACAAAATATTTAACTGCAAAAATACAAAATGGATCACTGCTTGCCAAGGATGATTTCCCTTTTTTTTATGTTCTGATACCCACGAAAAGGGAAATAGGGTAGGAATTGATGTTCTTCTTAAATTTCTGGAGGTTATATGCCTCGGGGAACACCCCCCTTGGCAATGTGTTGGATGAACGAGTCTTTGGGAAGAGATGTTCTGCAGGTCTCCAAAGTGACCACTAAGGGGTGCGAAGCCTCAACTCGACGGGTTAATCTCGCGGGTACTGCCAACGGCGAGGCCAACGGAGGAACAATTGTTGATACTTCAGAAGAGCATCGTCCATGAAAATATCTATAAAATAGAGCCAGATCGCCAACTTTTCTACGGTGTTCCAGAGAACTGAGTGAGTTTGTGAGCAAGGCATCACCCACGAGACGAATTGCACTTTTTTTGGACAAAATCCAACAGTTTCAGGGTATGTTTGGGTGCTGTACCCCAAATATGGGAACAGTATTCCAGGACAGGTCGGATCTGTGCCTTGTAGTAGGGATGCACCGGGAACTGTTTTCTGAAAAAGCCGGGTATCGGGTACCCGGTTTTAAAGGTAGGCCGGGTAACGGATAACCGGTGGCCTGGTATTATCAACCAAATAAGTGCATTGAAGCTGTCGTGTAGTTTCTATATTCCATCATGCCTATCTCCTAATATCTATATTGCACTAAGCCACAATGCCGACGAACGTTATTCTTTGAAACATCAATAAAAACCATGCATAATCAGAGGCAGATAAAGGCAACCCAATGTACACATAGGCAAGAGTGTTATTATTGTTTTTCCCGAGTTTTCCATCCCACCGTGCGTGTGTATCAATCTTAAATAAAGGGGATTCACCGAGAAAGGAAAGGGGATTCACCGAGACAGGATGAAAGATGAAAATACGGATTACAGATTTTACTACGGGCTTATAGATAGGCGGCATTTGTTGTGTTTGAATATCGAAAAAATACCCGGCCGGGTATCCAAAGCGAAGCCGGGTACCGGGTACCCGGTGCATCCCTACCTTATAGATCATGAGCAGCTGACTGAAAGTGAAATAGCTCCTGGCCTAAACAGATAACCAAGTTTTTGGAATGCACTTTTAGCTTTTGTATCATGGGCATAATCGAATAGTTAGTATTCAAATGATTCCAATAATCGAAATATCATTCCAATGATCGACAGCTCGGATAGTACTTACTATGGTTTCTTGATGCAAATTTGACGTATTTGTCATCTTATCAGGGTAAGGACAAATGCTCGTCTCATCTCACTCCAAAGTGTTTGTGAAACAGGTATATAAAGTGCTCAAAGAAACAAGTGGACCACTGAAATATTTGACAATCCTCTAACTGCCATATCTTTCTAGAAAATGAATGGATTTTCAATCGGAATAACGTGCTTGGATTGCTTGGAAGATGCGATCTTCCTGTTCAAGATTCCTCGTTCAAAACTCGTCGGGAGTTATTCTGTCATTATACACCAAGTGTTCGAAATAAAAAATTCAAACGCTTCCGTATTCCAGGGATTTTTTTTATTTTTCCATTAAGCGTTTTTTCCGAACGTTCAAGCCATTATCTGGAAACTGTTTTGTAATTTTCCATATTCCTCATACAGGATGTTCAAAATCGATAATTTTTAATTTTTAGGTTTTTATCGCATCATTTCCGATTTCAAAATTATGCAAGCCACATTCAACGTATTTTGCCACTCTATACGACGGAACAAAATCCTAGAAAATGGATTCTTATTGCGTTGCAATTATCGACAACTTCAACAGAAGAAAAAATATTTTTTTTGTAAAAATGTTCAGAATTTGGTGAAATCGCCTGTTCAGTTTGGTGCTGCCATAACCATATGCTATGCTAAACACGAATCCTTCATTTGGATCGATTACTCAGCTCAATAACTCGAATTGATTTCGTGATTTTTTAGAAAATCAATCGAAAAAGTCGATTTCTTGTAATCAACACTCATTTTCGCAATTAATACCACTGCTACACCCAATATAATGCCTCCTGTCGAACTTTCGAAAACTGTCATCATCGCAGTGGTAATAATTGCGTAAATGAGTGTTGATTACAATAAATCGACTTTTTCGATTGATTTTCGATTACGCGATGAAAAACCTTGTGATAAATAGGTTTCTTGACCTCATGTCAGCTCAGGAATATCTTAGAACCATTGTGGCATCGTTATTGTATGAATTGGTCAGGAAAATCCAGAAGGGCCTCCTTGCGCCCCCTTGGATTGCCTTTTCTATAAAATCACGAAATCAATTCGAGATATTGAGCTGAGTAATCGATCCAAATGAAGGATTTGTGTTTTAGCATAGCATATGGTTATGGCAGCACCAAACTGAACAGGCGATTTTACCAAATTCTGAACATTTCTACAAAAAAAATATTTTTTCTTCTGTTGAAGTTGTCGATGATTTCAACGCAATAAGAATCCATTTTCTAGGATGTGTTCCGTCGTATAGAGTGGCAAAATACGTTGAATGTGGCTTGCATAATTTTGAAATCGGAAATGATGCGATAAAAACCTAAAAATGAAAAATTATCGATTTTGA